ACACTTGAGTCCAAACATAAATTTCTGTCTCAAATGCCTTCAATCCAGACCCAGAGAAACCCACAGCTGGCACCCCCACAGTGATGCCCCAAACCCAGCACTGAAGGGAATCCCAAAAAATCCCCCAAAAGCTCCTGGGTTTCCCAAAGAGGGAGAGCAGCCAAGGCCGCTGCAGCTGCCCCAAAAGCAGCCAGGGACGTGCAGGGACTTGCTGCCTCTTGCCTCATCCTGCTGGGGAAGGAAAATTTGGCTCCAGCCCGTGGCTTGATCCCATTTCCAACCCACCAAGGGGCGTGGGTGGCTCTGCAGGCGCTCCTGTCCCAGCCGCGGGGAGATGCTGAGCGAGATCTGCCCCTGTCTGGAGATCTTGGTGCCCGAGAGGGGCACGCCCTGGGCAGGGATGGGATCCTGGCAATCCTGGGCAAGGGGAGGGATCCGGGCAGCCCTGGGCAAGGGGAGGGATCCGGGCAATCCTGGGCAGGGATGGGATCCGGGCAATCCTGGGCAGGGATGGGATCCGGGCAGCCCTGGGCAAGGGGAGGGATCCGGGCAGCCCTGGGCAGGGATGGGATCCGGGCAATCCTGGGCAGGGATGGGATCCTGGCAATCCTGGGCAGGGATGGGATCCGGGCAGTCCTGGGCAGGGATGGGATCCGGGCAGCCCTGGGCAAAGGGAGGGATCCGGGGCAATCCTGGGCAAAGGGAGGGATCTGGGCAGCCCTGGGCAAGGGGAGGGATCCGGGCAATCCTGGGCAGGGATGGGATCCGGGCAGCCCTGGGCAAAGGGAGGGATCCGGGGCAATCCTGGGCAAGGGGAGGGATCCGGGCAGCCCTGGGCAGGGATGGGATCCTGGCAATCCTGGGCAGGGATGGGATCCGGGCAGCCCCACAGCTCCTCCGGGAGAGAATGAGCTGGGCTGGGAGTGGCTGCAGCCCCCGAGCCTTTCCCGGGTCCTGGGGATGGATCAGAGCCTGATCCCAGATCCATCGGGGCAGGATCAGAACCTGAGCCTGGTTCCATTGGGGCAGGATCAGAACCTGATCCTGGATCCGTCAGGGCAAGATCAGAACCTGATCCTGGTTCCATTGGGGCAGGATCAGAGCCTGAGCCTGGTCCCAGATCCATCAGGGCAGGATCCCACGGAGATCCCAGATCCATCAGGGCAGGATCAGAACCTGACCCCAGATCCATCAGGGCAGGATCCCATGGTGATCCCAGATCCATCAGGGCAGGATCCTGTGGTGATCCCCAGGTGTCCTCGCCGTGCCACCACTACCGAACCCACAAACCCTTTGTGTTCTAGACAGGAAAAACCCCATTTTAGGGGATGAGAAATGCAGAATTTTACGTGAGAAGGGGAACCCCTGGCTGGTGTTTTTGGGCACCCAAGGAGGTGCTTTGTCCCTGACCTACATCCACCTTTCCAAGGTGCCTCCAGCCCGTGCCCGGTGACATTTAGGACAGCCTAAAAATGAGATTAACCCCCCTTTTCCTGCAGCAATTCTCCTGGTCTGTGACGTTTTGTGGGTGAACCCACAAACCCCTTGGGTTTTAGAGGAAAAAACCCCATTTAGGGGATGTGAAATGCAGAATTTTATGTGAGAAGGGCATTTTTGGGCACCCGAGGAGGTGCTTTGTCCCTGACCTACATCCACCTCTCCAGCTGTGCCGTAAACATCCTGGGAGCGCAGGATAATGAGGGAGCCTCCCTGGGAAGAGAACAGGACTGACCGGAAGGAATCTTCTCCTCCTCCTCCTCCTCCTTCTCCTTCTCCTCCTCCTCCCACTCCCGAGCCTGCCCGGGGCTGCTCCGAGCCTCTCCCGCCACTCCCGGTGCGGATCCAGGTGAGGCTCCATCGCTTCTTTTTGTCTTTAAAATGAATTTTTGCGCTCGTGGGGCTGCCCTAGAACCGGTTTTAGCCGGCGGCAGGACGGGATCAGCTCCTTTGGGCACCTGCAGGAGCTGATTCATTCACCCCACAAGTGCCTGGGAGCAGCTTCCCTCTAATTGAGGCAGGGAAAGTGGAAAAAATGAGGGGGATCGAGGGGAAAGTCCTCGGAGAAGCTGGGAAAGGAAAGTTTCTTTTTAGCTCTGGTGAAATTGAATGCAGGAAGGATGAGGTGGGATGTTTGGGATCTCATTGGAAGGGAAATTTGGGATTTTTGGAAGAGATATTTGGGAATTGTGGATGTTTAGGATCATTGGAAGGGATGTTTGGGATCATTGGAAGGGACATTTGGGATCATTGGAAGGGGGTTTTGGGATTATTGGAAGGGATGTTTGGGAGTTTTGGAAGGTATATTTGGGGTTTTTGGAAGGGAAATTTGGGATTTTCGAAGGGATGTTTGGAATAATTGAAAAGGATATTTGGGATTTTTAGAAGGGGTGTTTGGGCTCATTGGAAGGGATGTTTGGGATTATTGGAAGGGATGTTTGGGATTATTTAAAGGGATGTTTGGGGTTTTTGGGAGGGATGTTCCGGGGGGATTTTCCTGCCGCCCTGACAGCGTCTGCGGCCTCAGGTTCTGCTCCTCCCCAGGACTGGAGCCATGTCCAGGCTCATCAAAGCCATCACTGACATGATGCAGAGCTCCCAGGGCAACGCCAGGAAGGGCAGGAAATCGGAGACCTTCAGCAGGAGCGAGTTCAAGAAGCTGATCCAGCAGGAATTCGTTCCTGTCAAGGTAACAGCAGGGGCCGGAGGGGGGAAAAGAGGCTGGGAAAGGGACCTGGAATTGTTGGAGCGAGTCCAGAGGAGACCACGAAGGTGATAAAGGGACTGGAGACATTTCCTGATGGATCCAGGCTGGGAATGCTGGGAATGTTGGGAATGTGGAGACCCCAGAGCCCCTCCAGGACCTGCGGGGGCTCCAGGCAAGCTGGAGAGGGATTTCTCCTCAGGAACTGCAGGGACAGAGAGGCAGGACGGGCACCCACAGCTGGGCACTCCCCGTGGGCAGTTGGGGCACCCAAAATTCGGGATTTGGGCTCTGGGGGTGCTGCAGCCACCGGGTTCCTGCTGTCACCACATCCCCCTCTGCCCTCTGGGGTATTCTGGGGGGTGAGGGGGCGTCTGCAGCACCCACCCCACATCCGAGGCTGGGCTGGGGTCTCTCCTCCCTTGGGGTTTTCCCTGCGGAGCCCCCTCCCCTTTTCCCGCTCTGCAGCCCTGTTTGGACGGGTTTGGACCCTTCCAGCACCTCGGGCTGAGGGGCCCCGGCCCTTCCCCACCTCGGGAGGGGCTGACAGGGCCGTGTGTCCCCTCAGAGGTCCCCGAGCAGCAAGTCCAGAGCCGTCCCCCGGCCCTCGGAGCCCGACACGGAGCCCATGAACAAGGAGAGGGCTCCGGCCAAGCCCTGCATCTACTGAGGGCCCTGCGCTGCTCCTGGCACGTGGAAGGAGCAGGTGAGGGACACCAGGGTGGCGCCACCCTGGGGACACCTCCCAAGGTGGGGACCCCGTGCCCGGTGTCACCCGCAGGTGCCGAGGTGTGGCCATGGTGGCGAGCCCAGCCCGGCGGGGAGGGTGGGATGGGGCAGGAGCTGGGCTCTGCAGGGCGTTTAATCAGCCCTAATTAAACCCGTGCAGTAATTGGGCACCAATCAGAGCGGGCTGGAGGGAGGGACCTCGAGTCCTGCCAGGTTTTGTGGGCGAACCCCCCTTGTGGGTTTCCCTCCCTTTTCCATAGGATTGCTCCGATGCTGGGATCTCCTTCCAGGCTTTTCCTGCTCCTCCTTCCACGCCAGGAACATCCTGGGACGAGTGAGGACCAAGCCCAGCTCCACCAATTTACCTCCATGAGGCAAAAATATCCCCAGGTCTCCTTTGGTCCCCCTGCTCCAGTGGTGTCTCCTTGGGGTGCTTTAAAAACGCAGCTTTGAGGGCTTGGAGGGGGTGGTTGGGGGCAGATTTTCTCTTTTTTTCCTCATAAAAAGCAAAAAATCTCAACCCTGCTGAAATCTCAGCCCCTTCACCCCAGTTATTAATGGGGAGAAAGTGAAAAAAAAGAAAAAAAAATCCCTGGTTAATAGGGCTGGGATGAGCAGGGGAATTATTTGATTATTTGATATCAGCCTGTACAGAAATGACGAGCCCAGAGTGGCAATTCCTGGGGGGAAATTAAAAGTTCATTTTTGTTGGGAGCTCATTTCCAGCTCATTTGGAGTCGGCAGCAGAGTTCCCACGGGTTTTTGAGGGGGTGGACACACCAAAAATGCACCTCAGGGAGGTGGATTTTCAGAGAGATCTTTCTGCACTGTAAATATCCCAAAGGCGATTTATTTCCCCTGCTTATTTTCCCCCTTCTCACACAAACGGTTGTAACACCACAAAAACCCAATAAAAACCATCCAACCTGGTGCCTGCCTGGATTTTAGGAGCCTCCCAGCCCCAAAACCCCATCCTGGGCTGGCTCTGGAGAACATCCCAGCCCCAAAACCCCATCCTGGCTCTGGAGAGCATCCCAGCCCTAAAACCCCATCCTGGGCTGTGTCCCTGGCTCTAGAGAACATCTCATCCCTAAAACCTCAACCCAGGCTGGCTCTGGAAAACCTCCCAGCCCTAAATCCCCTCCTTGGGCTGTGTCCCTGGCTCTGGAGAACATCCCGGCCCCAAAACCCCATCCTGGGCTGTGTCCCTGATTCTGGAGAACATCCCAGCCCTAAAACCCCATCCTGGGCTGCCTCTCCCAGCCCCAAAACCCCACCCTGGCTCTGGAGAACCTCCCAGCCCCAAATCCCCATCCTGGGCTGTGTTCCTGATTCTGGAGAACATCCCAGGCCCAAACCCCCATCCTAGGCTGCCTCCCAGGCTCTGGAGTGCAAGGAAACACCAACACCAGTGGGGTTTAGAGGACGTGACTCTTTATTGGGCACAGCCCAGCCCTTGCCAGGCTCCGGAGGGCACCGGGGAGGCTTCGGGACCCCCGGGGAGGTGACAGGGATCCGGTCCCCGTGCGGCCTTTGCTGCCAGAGCTGGGACAAGGCGATGGCCACGCTGTCACTTCATCTTCTGCTGCGGCATCTGCGGCACCTGCTGCTGCTGCTGCTGCTGCACCGGCATCTGCGGCTTCCCGTGGCAGCCGGAGCCACCGGAGCTGTGACAGCCGCCACCGCCCGAGCTGTGGCAGCCGCCACCACCGGAGCTGTGGCAGCCACCACCACCGGAGCTGTGGCAGCCCCCAGAGCTGCCGCCAGAGCTGTGGCAGCCGCCGCCGCCGGAGCTGTGGCAGCCACCGCCGCCGGAGCTGTGGCAGCCACCACCGCCGGAGCTGTGGCAGCCACCGCTGCTCTGGCGCTGCTGCCGGTGGCACTGGTCCTTGTCCTGGCGGGAGCACATGGCGCTGTGCTGGGTCACCTGTGGGGACACAGCAGCTGGCAGGGCTTTGTCCTTCCTGCTCCTGCCCTTCCAGGCAGCAGGAATCCAGGTTTGGAGTTTGGAGTTCCTTTTCCCAGTCCCAGGCAGATCCCACATTTCTGGATTGCTTTCCCCCCTGGCATTGTCCCACTGAAGGCGTTGGGACACTCAGGCTGTGCCTGGCATTCCAAAATCAGAGCCAAGACCCCAGACCCTCCCTGGGGGTGTTCCTTTTCCCAGTCCCAGTCAGATCCCACATTTCTGGATCCTTTTCCCCTCTGGCATTGTCCCAGCCAGATCCCACATTTCTGGATCCTTTTCCCCTCTGGCATTATCCCACTGAAGGTGTTGGGGACACTCAGGCCATGCCTGGCATTCCAAAATCAGAGCCAAGACCCCAGATGCTCCCTGGGGGTGTTCCTTTTCCCAGTCCCAGTCAGATCCCACATTCCTGGATCCCTTTCCCCCCTGGCATTGTCCCAGTCAGATCCCACATTTCTGGATCCCTTTCCTCCCTGGCATTGTCCCACCAAAGGCGTTGGGTGTTGGATCACACTGCAACAGTTGGGGACACCCAGGCCATGCCCGGCTTTCCAAAACCAGAGCCAAGACCCCAGACCCTCCCTGGCTGGCACTGGGAAAAGGGATCCCAGTGTTCCTTGTCCCAGTCACAGCCAGATCCCACATTCCTGGATCCCTTTCCTCCCTGGCATTGTCCCACTGAAGGCGTTGGGGGCACCCAGGCCATGCCTGGCATTCCAAAATCAGAGCCAAGACCCCTGACCCTCCCTCCACATCCCCACCTCTGCTCCCTCCGAACCCCTGGACTCCCTCCTCACCCACCCCAGAACAAAACCCAGCTCTGTTCCAGGTGTGGGGATCCCAACTCACCCCACCAATGGTTCTGGAGCCCCCAAGCTCTTACCTGAGCTGCTCGTGCAGGAAGAGATGAAGAAGGATGAGAGGCAATGAGGCTTTTGGGGACAGGAGCACTTTTATACCCTCTCTGCACACCCCACACGGAGAAGCCCCTCCCTGTCCCGTTCATTTAATTCGCTGGTGGCTTTTTAATTTTTTTTTTTGCCTTCCCATTTCTGGGGCTCCTGGGGTGACTCACCCGATCCAGGCTGGGATTGCCTCTCCTTGTAGGTCGCCTTTCCTGTCCACAGAGCTTTAATTGCCGGCTCTGCCTGTGCAGGGCTGGGCTGGGGGAGCCGTGGGTGGCCCCGGTTTCCCCAGGTCAGGTTTGGTGTCGATCACACCCCGGGAGTGATTCGGGTTCAGGGGGAGATGAGGATGTCTCACCTCCAAACCACAAACCGCAGCTTCCCTCCAGGATGTCCTGAGGTTCTCTAGGCCTGCAACTCCCCTAAAAAACCAAAATGGGCCCTGAAACGACAAAAAACAGTTTTGGGAAAGGAGAAAACTCTGATTTAGCAGGAATTTCCTCTGCACTGGGGATGGTGAGGGGAATGTCCAGTGCTGTGTCCAGTTCTGGGCACGCATGGCAAGAGGGGCTGGAGTGGGTCCAGAGAAGGGAATGGAGCTTTTCTCCCAGCCTGGAGAAAAGGGGGCTCAGGGGGAATTTCTGACTCTGCACAACTCCCTGACAGGAGGCTCAGATGGGAATCAGGAGGATTTTTTTTTCCTGGAAAGGGCGTCCAGGCCTTGGAAAAGGGGTTTGGAGTCACCTGGAAGTGTCCAAGGAGGGCCTGGCTGTGACCCTCTGGGTTTGGGCACAGCTTGGATTCGATGGCCTTGGGGGGCTTTTCCAACCTCAGGGATTTTGGGATTTGCCTGGAATCCCCTTTGGCTCGTTCCTCTTAGAACTGGTCAAAACATGGTGGGGCGACGAGGAAACTCCAAGGTTTCCTGCCATTGCCAAGAGCTCAAGCAGCTGGAATTCTTATTTTTGGAAGGAATAAGCCCTGCCCTGGGTAAGGATCCAGGATTAGCAAGGTGCTTAATTATGTGGTTGAGTCTCTCAGCCTGGGAACAAATCCATGGTTTTATTCCAGGTGAGCGGCTCCGGTGCTGCCAAAGGAGGAGGAGGAGGAGGAGGAGGAGGAGGAGGAGGAGGAGGAGGAGGAGGAGGAGGAGCAGGGATCCCACAGGAGCCTTCGGCCACACACAGTTGTGGGCACCTGGCAGACCCCCGGGACTTTCTCCAGAGCTGCAGGAACACCCTTTTTGCATTTCCCCTGATCCCCAATTAGCTCCTAATTGGCCAGCAAATCCCGGATGCTCAGCCCCACACCGTGAGAGGCAATAATTTGGGATACTCCCTGTACCTTTCTGCTGCGTGGGCTGGGAATTCTTTAGGAGCATGGAGCTTGTTTGGCTCTGTCACTGCTTATGGAAGACATTGCAATCGTTAAACTGGAAGCAAAAACTCCGGGTGGGAAATATTTTCCTTCCTCCCAAGCTCTCCTGTCTTTGATTTGTCTTTGTCCACGTTGATTTTATGGAGATGCAGACTGAGTGGTTCCTTCCACCCAAACCCCATCCACATTTGCTGGTATCCAAAACAGAGGATTTTGGGAAATTTGGGAGGACAGGGCAGGTGAGGGAACCTGGTGAGCAACCTGGAGTTTCTTTTGTGTTGCTAAACTCCTGCCACGATCTAGAACAGTGTCAGTACAAACTGTGCCTGGGTTTGGTCGCTGCTCTCCAATTGCGTTTTGTTCTGGCCTCAGCAGAAACGTGGTCAATGACCTCTGGGGAAAAAAAACACTCGAAGGAATTTTTGGCTCTTGGCATCTCCCTGTGTTCATTTCCTCATGTTTTAATTGCTCTGAGTTTGTTAACAATGGGCAACCCTACGTTTTGTGGTCGGCCACCCCTTGAGAACGGTTTTTGAATTTGGGGGCTCAAGGCAAACCCCAGATTCAGACAAGGAGCCTTCCCGAGCCATCCCTGCTCCAAAAACAGGGAGTGAGCTGCTGCCTGCACCCTTTTCAGCAATGCCAGAAATTTCTGATCCTCCTGACGCACTCGAGAACAATCTTATCACGGTAACATCCATTTCATGAATGGCAATACCGGAGCAATAAATTACCCAATTTGTTTTAATTACAAGCTGAGAAGAAATTTAGCAGCTCGTTGTGTAACCATCGAGCAACGCCCCTGGCACGACCCAGGGCTCGGGCAGGGCTCGGGCACAGCGTTTCTAGAAAGGCTGGCTGGGGGTTTGCCACCAGCACGCTGAGGTACCTCCCTCGGGGGCGGCATTTTGGGGCCAAATGGCAAAAAAAAAGGTTGTTTTTTTTTTGTCTATAGGACTCTTTGGCTCAAAACATCTCTGAAATTATGGATTATGGTGGCTCAAATGAAGTCACAGACCGATCCACACACAACCGTGCCAGCTGAGCAAAGCGTTTATTTCAGCACCCACAGACAAACTCAGGACAGGTTACAGGACACACCGGGGAGGGAAGGACACTTTGTCCTTGGAAATTGGAAATTCCTGGGCACATGCAAAGCTTTCAGAACGTGACACAGGATCCAGGGCACTCCTGTGAATCACCTGCAGCTGGCGGGATGATCACTTCATGTTTGAGGACACTTGGTAGATTTGCTGCTGGCACTCCGGCGGCTTTCCATGGCAGGATCCCCCGCTGCTGCCATGGCAACCAGATCCGCCGCTGCCATGGCAACCAGATCCGCCACTGCTTCCACGGCAACCAGATCCGCCACTGCTTCCATGGCAACCAGAACCGCTGCTGCCATGGCAACCAGATCCACCGCTTCCATGGCAACCAGATCCGCTGCTCCTTTGACAACCAGACCCGCCACTGCTTCCACGGCAACCAGACCCGCCACTGCTACCATGACAACTGGATCCACCACTGCTCCCATGGCAACCAGACCCGCCACTGCTCCCATGGCAACCAGATCCACCACTGCTCCCATGGCAACTGGATCCGTGGCTGTGGCAGCAGGACCGTTCCTGCTGGTGGCACTGGTCCTTGTCCTGGCGGGAGCACATGGTTGGAGACCTGCTGGGGAAACTCATCCGTGAGTGAAGGCCATGAGCGGGGACACTGGAAGTGTCTGAAGCTGTGGGAGAGGTTTTACAGCGATTTCTGTGAGCCAGAGAGAAGTTTGAGAAGAGGATCTGTGTTCAACCCTGAAAGGATTTTCTACTGAGGTTGTTGACACAGAAACCAACAAAGAAACAAGGAGAAATAAGAGAAACCTTCAACTGCCTGTTACAATGAGCACTTTGTTTGTCTGTCATGACCAATAAGTGTAAATTTATGAGTTTTGTAAGAATGTATAAAAATCATGCATCAAAATCAAAATGGTTTGAAGCCTTCTGAAAAAGGGGAGTTGCTTTGCATTGTCTCCGTCTCAACCATGACACGAGGCTGTGTTGGATGGGACTTGGAGCACCCCGGGATGCGCTAGTGGGGGGTGTCCCTAAAATCAGCGAGCAGATTTTAAGGTCTCTTCTATCCCGACCCATTCCATGACTCCATAATTCCATGGTTTCACGGTTCTAAGCCAGGTTCTTGAGCAGGAGAAGAGTTATCCCCGTACATCTGCCCGTGGCGGCTCCTTTGGTCTTGTACATCAGAGAGAAGTGAAAAGAGCCGGACAAACTCCAGAGCAAGACACGCAGAGCCACCTGAGCCAGGGATTTTTACATTTTCCCACTCGGCAGAAGGACTGAGATGGAGATAGGACGTGGCAGAGAAGTCCCAAAGAGCTCAGGATTGGGGAGAAGCTGGAGAGCGTTAGGAGAGTAAAAATCGGATGGATCTGGACTCACTTGGATCAGAAGGAGCTTGAGAGCGTTAGGAGAGTAAAGATCGGATGGATCTGGACTCACCTGGATCAGAAGGAGCTGGAGAGGCGACGCTGAGGAGCTGAGACGCTGCGGAGAAACGCGGAGCGAGGGCTTTTAAAGGCTGGCTTGGGCTTCTCCTCCGGAAACCAGCTGGGGCCCCACTGGAGGGACCTGATTGCTCAGCACCCCGAGCACTTGGCTAATTGGGAGTTTTTGCTGTGCTGTTTTGACACACGGAGCTGATCGATATCCTGACATCCCTCTCGTTACTCCATAAAAATGTTAATTGCCCACCACGCCTGGCCCGGTGGGGCGCGGGGCTGGGAGAGTTTGGGGTGGTTTTTGTCACCTTGGATTGTGGCATTTTCCTGTTCTTTGTGCCCAGATCCTGAACCGAGATGGGACGGGTGTTAGAGGGTGGGAAGGTGGGACTGTGGGGTCTGATTGTGGGGTTGTAAAGGAAACCCAAAAATAAAAGAGAAAGGGAACAAAAAGGCTGGAGTGGTGGGTAGTAAATTAAACATAATTGGACAGGGCATCAAAGAAACATCAAAAATTCTGAATAAAGTCAGCAAAGAAGCACTAAAAGCAGTGCTGGGATTTTTCGGGCCAGTCCTTTTTTTACTTTAAGGCTTTCAACCCAAACAGAAGGAATTTAAAGCCCGTAGGATGTAGAGAATGTTCTGGTAGGAGTGGGAGGACATGGGGATCTTTGTCTTACATGCTCTGCTTTGGGGACAAAAGTGTCTTTGTACCCATGGAGAGCTCCAGGCCTAATCTCCTGCAGGACTCTAGAGGCCACTGTGATATTAAAAAAAGCCTGGACTAAATGAAAATAAAATACAGATTCCAGAAGACCCCTTGGTCCCCAGTGGAGCTGAATTGCTGGAACTGATAGATGAGGAAATCCGAACGCGGCTCGGGATATTTCACAAACATCGGGAGAATGGAAATCCTTGTGAAACTCATTATTCACGATTAATTACAGCCCTGATTCCGTGATGGGGATAAACCTGTTCCATCGATGGAGACAAACACCTGAGCAGGGCCCGGGGGCACCTGGGCCCACGGATGGGGCAGGACTGTGCTGACCCCACAGCTGCTCCCTGTATCCCCTGCAAAGCTCCTGGTTCTTGGAGAGGCATCCCTGGATCCACAGACACCATTCTGAGTGGGGAAATGGCTTTTTTTGGGGTCGTTTGTTGCTTTTATGAAGGAATTGCCCATGCAGAAGCTGGTGAGGGAGGCTTTGGGTGGTGTCACTGTCAGTGTCCACCCTAAAACCCCCACCCTGCACCTGCTTTTGCTTTTTTCCCTTCTCCAGCAGGAGGAATCCCCACCCTGGGAGGTGGCTGATGGTGCCATGTGCCACGTCCTGACTCAGGAGGGGATGGAGGCGTTCACCAGGGCTGGGGAGGCGCCGGGAGCTCCGAGCACGCGGTGCTGTGACTCACAGCGGCTCCACATCCCTGCCTGGCCCCAGAAATCCTCCCTGGGGGTTCCTCTCCCAACCCCACCAGAGATTTGTGAGCTTTCAGAGCCATTCCCAAATCCTCTTCCTGCCTTTTTTCCCCAGGGCTTTTTTTTTGGAGGTTTTTGGCGCCAATCCAGCTGCACCCGTTGCCTCATGGTCCCAAACAGACCCTCTGCTTTTCCCCTCTCCGTTAAAAAGTGGATTTTTCTTACACAACTTCATTAATATTTAATTACACACTTGCATAAACACCCCGTGATGAAAACTGTTACTTTACCAAGCAGGAAATTGCCTGGAGTGGGAACGAGGAGCCGCCAGGTGGAACCACCCTGGAGCCTCCTTGTGAGGCCGCTGCAGACCCAGCTCTGGCCACCAGAAGGACCCGGAGCCACTCAGAGGGATGAGGAGATAGAAACACGAATGCGAGGGGGGTTTGAGACAGCATTTTTTTATTTATTGCCTCCACATCTGCTGTGAAACGAGGTGAAAAGCATTTTAAATTTCACAGCATCAGCGGGTCACAACTTCAGAGCGCGTTACAAGCAGAGCGACAGAGCAGAGATGGGTGACAAAGCAGGACAAGGGAGGGGGGACAGGGACAATTCCCTTTGTTTCCCCTCACTCCTCGGGTCCTTTATTTGATCTTCCGGGCTGGCATTTTGCAGACCTGCTTCTGCTGCTGGCGGGGGATGCCCTTGGCCATGGGGACACAGCCCTGCTGGACTGGAGGGGGACAGGGACAGGGACAGGCCTGGACTGGAGGGGGACAGCTCTGGACTGGAGGGGGACAGCTCTGGACTGGAGGGGGACAGCTCTTCACAGGGATGCTCTTCACGGGAGGGGGACAGGGACAGGGACAGATCTGCACTGGTGGAGGACAGGTCTGGACTGGGATGCTCTTCACAGGAGGGGGACAGGGACGGGGACAGATCTGCACTGGTGGAGGACAGGTCTGGACTGGGATGCTCTGCACTGGCTGGGGACAGCTCTGCACTGGGATGCTCTGCACTGGCTGGGGACAGCTCTGCACTGGGATGCTCTGCACGGGCGTCCCACAGCACGGCTTCCCCCCTTGGGCCACTGTCCCGTGGCACCTCTCGGAGCACACGGACCTCCCGTAACCCTGGCACCCCCCTGAACCCCCGTAGCTGTACGTGGGTCTCCTGACACAGCTGGACCCCCCTCCATGGCACGAACCCGAGGAGCCCTGGCACCTTTCAGCACACACGGACCTCCCGTAACCCTGGCACCCCCCTGATGCCCCGTAGCTGTACGTGGGTCTCCTGACACAGCTGTCCCCCGCTCCATGGCACGAGCCGGAGTAGCCGTGGCAGCGCTCGGCGCAGCGGGGCTGCCGGTAGCCGTAGTGCCGGTAGTCGTGGCCCCTCATGCCCTCGACGCCCTCGCCGTGGCAGCCCGAGGAGGAGCCCGAGGAGCAGCAGGTGGAGTAGCCGTAGCGGAAGGGCGTGCGCCGTGTGTCCAGCCAGGAGCCAGAGGGGTCGTACCAGGTGGAGTTCAGGTTGAAGAAGGATTCTCTTCCTGAGGAGTAAATCATGGCGGGGCTCTGGGGGGAAAAGGCCTGGGGAAGAGATGGGTTGGTGTCAGCGTCTCCTCTGGTTCTGTTTGACTTCCCTTGGGGTTTGTCCTGAGGGCTTGGATCCAGTAAACCTGGGGAAGAGATGGGGTTGGTGTCAGTGTCTCCTCTGGCTCTGTTCGATTTCCCTTGGGGTTTGTCCTGAGGGCTTGGATCCAGAGGAAATTCCCGCAGTTGCCCAGTGCTGGTGAGATTGCATCCAAATTGCATCCAAACCCTCTTTCTGACCTTCCCTTTCCCATTTTTCACCTCCAAGAGCAAAACTGACCAACATGCGGTGGCACCGCTGTAAATCCCACCCCAGGTCCCTCAAGAGCTTCTCCCGTGTCAGAGCATGGCCTGAAAGTCCAGGTGTGTGACCTCCCAAACCCAGACCCCCATCCAAGAAGAGATGAGCCTCACCAGATCTCAAATGAAGACAGGAAGTGGAGCAGAATGTGAGAGGCCAAGGGGCTGAGGGCTTTTATAGAGCTCTGAGAGTTCCCCTGAACGTGAAACACGCAGCAGGAACGAGGATTAAATTATTTATTGGCAAAACATCTCCTCCATTTGGATGCTGTTCCCGGTGCCTGGCATGTTCTGCTTGACTCACCATTTCTGATAAGCATCTTTTAATTATAACATCGGTCCCCAGCGGGGCACATAAAAGACTTGAGACGGCCTAAGCCCCATTTTGGATGTGTGAGCCAGGTAATAAAGGACTTATTCACCCTCTGCAGGGTGACCTGTGAGTCAGGAGCTCCGGCCCTCCCCTCCTGCTGCCCGTCAGGAGCATTTCCAGGTGAAGCACGAGCAGGTGATGGGAAGAGCCAGCTCAGAGTCACCAAAAGCAAATTGTGCCCGTCGGTTTCCGTGATGCTGGGGTTGGCTCTGGGCATGAGGGAGCCAGGGCGGGCAGGGCCTGACACGGCTTTTCCAGGGAATTTCTGGCTGCCTCATTCCTGGAAGTGTCCAAGGCCAGCTTGGACAGGGCTGGGATGGTGGAAGGTGCCTGTGGGAGTTGCAGTGAGATGATCCCTAAGGTCCCTTCCAACCCAAACCTTTCCACGATTCTGTTTTTTCTCCATTCCAGACTCGCCCCTCCCCTCATCCCCAAGTTGGTTTTTTGAGGTCCCTCCCAAACCAAACCTTCCTGCGATTCTCTTTCCTCCCCATTTCTACATTCCAGATTTGCCCCTTCCCTCACCCCCAAGTTGGTTTTTTGAACCCTCCCAACCCAAACCATTCCATGATTCTCTTTCCTCCCCATTTCTGCATTCCAGATTTGCCCCTTCCCTCACCCCCAAGTTGGTTTTTTGAACCCTCCCCACCCAAACCATTCCACAATTCCGTGGTTCTGCCCCAACTTTTGTCAGGTTTTTTGGCAAAGTCTCTCCCCCAGCAGCCTCGGGGTTAAACTGAGGGAGGTTTGGACTGGGTGGATGAAAAGCGTGGGGGTGAAAAAGGGGCTGATTCTGGTGCTGGTGCATTAAAACCGTGGACAATGGGATGGACTTGGAAAATCCTCAAATTGGGGTGAGGAACTGGGATGGGGGAAATGGGATGGATGGGGGAAATGGGATGGGGAACTGGGATGGGGGAAATGGGATGGGGGAAATGGGATGGGGGAAATGGGATGGGGGAAATGGGATGGGGGAACTAGGATGGGGAACTGGGATGGGGAACTGGGATGGGGGAAATGGGATGGGGGAAATGGGATGGGGGAAATGGGATGGGGAACTGGGATGGATGGGGGAACTGGGATGGGGGTACTGGGATGGGAGGGCTGCTGAGAAGCAGCTTGGGAGACAAACTGGACCAAATCAGACCTGGAAGCGAGGGCTGAGCTGGGCCTTGGTCTGTGGGCCCCGAGTCACCGTGTTGGGAACTGGGAAGAAAATCCCTAATAAAAAAAGGACTCTCCCGAGGTAAATCTCACAGGTAAGTGGTGTTTTTATTTGGAATGAGACACAAGAAAAAGGAATTGCTGTGGTGAAGAAAACGAGGATGAATTTCCCTTTTTTGCCTTCCCAGCTCTCCGTGGCGGTTGTGCGAGGACACGCCCGGGCGATGCTGAGGCAACACAAAGAAATTACAAAGAAATTAAATGATTTATTTTCATGCCCTCTGTGGGAGGCTTTTCTGGCAAAGCGAGGAGAAGCAGCAGGTTACCCCTGTGCCTGCACCTTCCTGCAGGAGCGAAAAGGCATCCCCGGCATGCACAGCCACCCCTCCCGTGCCGGGCCACGCGCTCATTATCATAATTAGCATGCAAATGAGGATGTGCACTGCTGCCATTCGGGGGATGAAGGTGCTGGGCGCAGAGCAGATGTTGGTGCCCGGCTCTGCCCATGCCGAGCTCCCGTGGTGGGTGAACCGCGGTGGGGAGGATTTTCCAACCTGGAGAAACCCCCGAGGGCAGAGCTGAAACCCTGACTCCGATTTAAACGTACGAGTTTCCTCGGGAGAGTCTGAATGGCTTTCAACATCTTCTCGTTGCAATGTCGGTGGGCAAGAAACAGGAATCGAGGGTTTGCTAAATAATTTTCAACTTTATTCTTGATTTTCCAACCTGCAGAAACCCCTGAGGGCAGAACTGAAACCCTCCCGTGTGAGCCCTGATTTAAATGTACGAGTTCCCGAGGGAGAGCCTGAATCGCTCTCAACATCTTCTCCTTGCAATGTCGGTGGGCCAAAAAGAAAGGAACAGAGAGTTTGCTAAATAATTTTCAACTTTATTCTTGAATACACGGGGAGAGGATAAAGCTGCAGGAGTCTGAGATGCTCCCGCCTTTACAGTGGTTCCTTTTTTCCTTGCAAAGTCCTGGAGCTGCTCCCCAACAGCCTTGGAGGTGAAGCCCGGCAGAGCAGACCCGTGACGGTTCCTCTGTGCCCGAGTGGCCTCAGGCGGGGGAAAACCAAAACCCGGCAGGGGGAGAACGCCCCGAATTTAAAAATTTAAAAAGTGTCGGTGCCGGGGCCAAGCGCGGCATCCCCAGATCGGCAAAAAGCAGCAGCGAGCCCAGAACGGCGCTGGGAGCGTCCCTTGGGCCGGGGGCGAACCCCCCAAACCCAACCAGGAGCTGGGGAGGGGTCCCTGGGCTCAGTTCTTCACGCAGAGGGGCACCAGCGTGACCTGCTTCTGCTGCTGGTGGCCGGGATGTGGTGGCAGGGGGACAATGCGGGGACAGCAGCGCCGGGAGGGCCGCGGGCAGCAGGGCACGGGCCGGGGGCATCGCTGGATGCAGGGGCAGCGGCGCTGCGGGGGCTGCAGGACCACCGGGGGTTCCTCATCCTCCTCGGGACGTTGCTCCACTCGCCTGCGGGGCTTGCCCGGGTCGGGCTCCGGGCACGGCGGGCACGGGCGGTGCTGCTGCAGCGGCCGCCGGTGGATCCTGACGGGCGGGGGGCACACGGGGGGCACCGGGCTCACCTCCACCCGCCGCCGGGGCTTGCAGCTCTGCGGGGCCGGGCAGCAGGAGGGCCGGGGTGGGCACAGATGGCCGGGGTGGCAGCTCTGGGTGGAGCCCTCGGTGTCGTGGCTGAGGCTGCCGGGGTCGGGGCAGATTTCGGGGGGATCGGGGCAGGTTTCGGGGGGCTCGGGGCAGTGCCCGGTGCAGCTCGGTGGTGTCCAGCCCTGGTGCTGGCACAGGTCGTGGTCGGCGCCGCCTTTCTGCTGGAGCATCCTGGGGGCAGAGATCACAGAATCGGGGAGTTATTGAGGGTGGAAAAGAATTCCGGGGTCATCCAGTCCAGCCTGAGATGGATCAACACCACCCAGCCGAGAGCCACGTCCAGGAATTCCTCGGGCACTCCAAAGCTCCCTGGGCAGCCCCTGCCAAGCCCTGACCCCTTTCCAGGGGGAAATTCCTCCCGAGTCCAACCCGAGCCTGCCCTGGCCCAGCTCTCATCCTGTCCCTGTTCCCTGGGAGCAGAGCCCGACCCCCCCCCGCTGTCCCCTCCTGTCAGGGACTTGTGCAGATCCCAAAATTCCCCCCCGAACCTCCTTTTCTCCAAGCTGAGCCCCCCCAGTTCCCTCGGGAGCTGCTTCTCCCATGACTCACAAAATCCTTTGAGGGTGACCAAGCCCTTGGGCATAAACAACCCGGGAAAACGCAAACAAAACACCGACGCCTTTTGTTTGTTTCTTTTTGCTTTTTCCAAGGAATCTGAGAGCATCCAACTCACCCTGCGAGCAGAAACGGACGGGCTGAGCAGGGAATCGGAGTCCTGAGCACGGAGAGCCGGGGCTGGAAGCTTTTATATGGGCCGAGCTCTGCAGGGAATGAGGCACGTCCTGGGAATGAATAGCTGAGCACTGAGGCCTCTGCCGTGTGTGTGTGTGCCGTGTGTGTGTTTTGTTCCTGGAGCTCTCTGCCGGCTTAATCAGCCCCAATTAGCGCCTGGCCCGGTGTGGGCAGCGCTCTGAAGAGGCTGTGGCCATTATCCCATTAGTCCTGGCCGGGCTCGGATGGGCTCCTGCCCCGCGTTAGTCAGACGGGATCCCGGGATGGGATGCGGATACCTGGGATGCCGGGATGCTGAGTGATGCGCCCTGAAGGGGACTCTGCTGGCGGTGGGAAAACCACAAAAAGGGCCCAGGGGTCCTTCCAGAGGAAGGGGAGGGAACCCAGGGTGGCCCCAGCGCCGGGTGCTGCTGCTGTGGGAGATGGGAACCCGGGATTCTTGCGGACACCAGGCACGGGGGGACAGTGGCAGGCTGGGCATGGGATGTTTGGAGGTTTATTCCCTGATCTAAATGGATTAGATTAAATTAATTCGCTCCCAAATGCGGAGCACCTTGGCTACGGCGAGGAAAAGCCTTTTATGTGCGGAAAGTCTGGAATGGGGACACCTGAGGAGCGATGACCTCACACAGAAACAATTCCAGGCCCTGCCAAGGACCGTGTCCACCTTTCTGGCATTTTTGCTTTGTGGAGCTGCTCCAGTTTGCATTTCTGTGGCCGAGACGTGTTTGAAGTACCAGGAAAATTCCTCTCCCAGGAGCCCCGCGGGGCTCCAAAGGCATTTCCATGCGGAGTAAGGGACGCTCGGAGCTCTGTCCGGTGGAATTTGGGTTTGAATCACTGCGAAAAGCATCCGCAGAATTCGGGGGTGTGTCTCCAGGGCTGCGCTGGCACCTGACAGGGCCCTGCTGTAATTTATTCATTTATTCCGTAGCTACAGGAGAAGTGGAATTGCCTGGCAGGAAGCCACGGGATTTGTGTGGAAAGATGAAAAAGACCTCGGGATCTGTTAGGGCCGAGCAGGATTTTAGGTTTAGAACTCATTGCCAGAGCCCCAGGTTGATGCTGGGCTTGGATTTTTTTTTTCACATTAAAGGAATTTTGGAGCCACTTCCCGAGGATTTCACAAGTCCCCAAGTGCGAATATTTAATTTCTGATCTGGTCTCTTAAAGCTTCCCACATTTTAATAGAACCCAGATAAAATGATTCAGCGTTTCTGGATCCTTCAGGCTGGACCTGAATCTGATCAGCCTGGGCCGGTGGGAGGTGACCCTGTCCATGGCAGGGGTGGGAGTGGGTGAGCTTTAAAATCCCTTCCAACCTGAATGACCCTGGTCTGTTTATTAATTTAAAAACCTTTAAAAGCTCAGCAAGAGCTTTTAAATCTGGGAAGATTCCCATTAGGAATAGAAGACCTCCAGCTCTGGCTTTAGGACCACAGAGATGCTTTCGTCTCAAACTGGATCTCAAATGAGCAGGAGAAAAATTAATTAAACTGATTAAACTGATGAATTAAACTGTCACCTCTTGCTGAGGGTGACATTTTTCATTTGCAAGTCCCATTTTCCCCCAGGTGAACCCGAAGAGTTCACCAGGTACAGCGAGGCGTTGTCGTCACAGAATGCCAAACATGCAAAATTAATTACATTAATCAATTAGGCAAATGCTAAACACATCCCACACTACTGTTTAAGGGATAAAGAGAAATGAATAAACATAACCCAGGAGTTTGCAGGGTCAGAAGTTACAAATTTTATTGTCTTTCATGGCTAATTGGGGATTAAATAAAGAGAAGGGAGAAGGAAACGGTCCCATCACCAAGAGAGGAAGGAAGAGCAGCGCCAGAAACTCGCTGGGCAGCGGCTTCAGGGCACAGCCAGGGGACTAAAGGCACCAAAAAGAAATTCTAGGTGTCCAAGCACAGCAGGAGAAGCGCTGGGGTTGGGATCCATGTCCAAATCCGTGTCCAAGAGCCGGAGATGCGCCAGGTGAGCTCAGTTGCCGCAGCAGCCGCCACAGCAGCCGTTGTTGTTGTTGCTGATGGTGTAGCAGCAGGACGTGGGCATGCAGCAGGACTGCACGGGCATGCAGCAGGGGCTGCAGCACTGCATGGGGCTGCAGCACATGGGGGTCTTGCAGCAGCGGGGGCTGCTGTAGCAGCACACGGAGTAGCTGTTTCCGCCGCCGCAGCACCCGTTGGGCATCTTGGAGGTGGTGGGAGAGGAGGCGGAGCTGGAAGGAGCAGAGAGAGGCTGTGAGGGGGAGCAGCAGGTTTGGAGTTTGGGGGGAACTCAAGGCTCTGGTTATTCAATTCAGCTTTGGGGGTCCAAACCCAGGCGTGTCCTGTTTGGAAATTGTGGCAGCAGCTCTGGGTTTTTCTCATGGTGCAGGTGCCCAATGGCTCATTCTGGTGTCTTAGGAGGAGCAGCCCACTCTGGACCCTTCTGGAATGTTCTCCATGCCGCTCCCCTGCATGGCCCCGTTGATACTCCCAGAACCTCCCCGAACATTCCCAGCTCATCCCCTTGTGCAGAGTTCGTAAAACCCCAACATCCAATCCCCATCCCAGATGCCCAAAACTACTTGGATCTGCTATAAATATCAGATATCCAAATTTTAGATATCCAAAATTCCCCTTTAGGAGGTGAGGGAAGGGTTCGAAGTTCTCACTTACCCTGCTGAAGAGTGAGGAGAGCTGAAGGGAGGAGAAGATGAGCGAATGAAGTGAGCTGGGCCCGGAGCCCTTTTATACTCCCGGCCATCCTTCCTCCTGGAAGTGAGACAGCCATTGACCATTCCAGCTTCCCTGTTTATCCATCCAAACCCATATTTTTTAGCCATAGGTGTCGCCTGGAATTTGCATTTCGCCTCATTACTGATGATCACCACGCTCCTTCTGCCTCGTCATGGTTTAGCCTGGAGATAATCAAAGGGCTCCCGTGAATTTGGATGAATTTGTCCTCCCCACAACCTTGTGAGGGAGCTAAAAAATGCGGCCTCGTATCTGCTGGATGGAGATGTTCTGGGACTGACTCAGCAGCAGCTGGTGCTGAATCAGAGCTGGAGCCCAAACCCAGCCCCGGTGTCGTGCCGGTCGTTCCGCGGGGATGGCGTTTGGAGCAAATTGGGAAAACGTCAGGAAAATGGGGATGTTTGTTTGCTCCTGGTCACTGGATGTGCACGTGAGGAGGGAGCCAGGGGTGTTTGGGATGTCTGGGGCTCAGTCACCCGCACGTGACTCCGTGCAAATGCATTCTGGAATGGTTTGGGTTGGAAATGATCTTTGAGATCATCCAATTCTGCCCCTCTGCAGGGGACATGGGCAGGGACATGTCCAGGCTGCTCAGAGTTCCATCCAGCCTGTCCTTGGACACTTCCAGGTTTGGGAAGTTCTCCCTTTATTTATTAATTTTTATTTTTATTGGTATTTTTATTAACATTTCAATTAAAAGGTTAAAGGGCAGCTCTGCCTGTATAAGAGGCAACACGAGGGATGGTGGCTCCAGGATTGGGAGTGGAGCACCCCAAATCAACATTTCCCTCCTGCAGCCTCCCCTGGCATCCAGCTGAATTCCAGGAATTCTGGAATCCTGGCCCTGAGCAGGGACGGACGGTTTTGCACTTGGCACAGGACCCTCTGAGGGTGTTGGAAATGGAGGGAGCCCAGAATGAACCAAAAATGAGAAGATTGAGGTGGAAGAGAAGGGCTCAGCACAGAAACTGCTCCTCGCTGGGCTGGCGGAGCTGAGTGGGAGGCAGGGACTCAGGAAGAGACTTTGTTGAGGTGAAACCATTTTCTGTGAGGGACAGAGGAAGGGAGGGACGTTGAGGTAGGGCAGAGCCTTGGGCAGCTGAAGCCTGGCAGGAGCACCGGGCAGGAATTTTGGGAGGGATTTTTTCACGGTCTGAAATTGCAGCTCTCAGTCGAGGACCTCGCCACATTATCCTGAGAGCTGCCTAATGAGAGGATGGAGGATCCTGCCTGGCCAGTTCCCTGCTGCTGTCTGACATCCTCAGGGATCCCAGGGCTGCTGGGGAGAGGGGTCGGCCCAGGTGAGCTGGGACCAGCCCCGAGGACGGTGACGAGGGCCTTGCTTTGCTCTCTGTGCAGTGCAAGGGGGAGCAGATTGAGATCTCAGAGCTGTTTCATCCCTGCAGGAAATGCCAGCAGCTCCTTTCCAGGCTTCCCCGGCATGAGAGCAATTTCTGGAGTGAAACAAGGGAGAAGCAAGGCGGTAATTGTGACTTCTGCGTGAAGCGCAGGAGAACACGCGCGGCATTTCCTTCCTGGTGGGAGAGACAAATGCACCTGGGCAGATCCGTTTATCAATTTGCAGGGAATTAATGGGGCAGAAGCAAAGGGATGAACTCCACTCGTGCCTCCTGAGGGAGGTTTTCCATTGGCAGCTGTGAGAAGGGAGGTGGAGGTGGGCATTT